GCTTACTCCATCAACATACAATTGTTGCAGTGACCGAGCTGGTTGGATTGCTTAGCAAAGATTGAGAGAGGTGTGCTCACGATCCTTGTTCCTGTATGATATAGTAAGATATTATGAATTTTTAAGATTATATAACATTATGATGAATTCTTAGTTTTGCATTTTATCAGCAGAATTATATGAAGATTTGTTTAAAGAAAGAATTATTTTAATCTCTAATCTCTGTAATTTATGTTCATTTTGTTTCTTAAATTTAACAACTTCTATGGATTGGTCTAAATATTTTAGTACATAATCTTTTATTTGATGTCCTATCAAGGTTACCTAAAAGTAATGTAAAATAAGGATTGAATCAAACTCCAACTTCAGGTAGTTCTTCTAGGGTTATTTCCTTGAACTCCTCTAGTAAAGGTTGTATTGCAACAGGAATCTGCACAGTGGGTGCTTTTATTCCTTCAAAACTAATGTATATGTATACCCTACTTCTTTTGCATTATTTATGCTCTGCTTGGTACGATGAAAATATAAAAAAAATGAAAAGTTAGAGGGATAGATAAAATATTATGTATAGTAAGGAAAAAAATAAGAAGGATGAAAAGTGGATGATTTTTTGTGTATATTAGTTAGTGTGTGTGTGTGTGTGTGTGTGTATATGGGTATTGTTTTTGATGTATTAGTGTGTGTGTGTGTTTACATCTTAGTGTATGAATGTTATTTGTGAGGTATTAGTATTTGTGTTTGTGTTTTTATATATTAGTGTCTATATTTTGGTGTAGTAGTTTGTGCATTTTGATATACAATAAATATAATAAATTTTTAACATAAAAATGATTTTAGAGAAGTAAAAAATTTCTTCTTTTTTGTTCTTTCATTTGTACTTATTGGCATATTTAAGAGGTGAAATTACTTTTGACTTATCTAAAAGAAATTTTAATAAGGATTACAAACTCTATTTTTTTTTCTTTTTAAACTCTGCGAGTGTAGTATTCAACAATGCCTGTCCCAAGTCAGAATAAAGGAGGACGGTTGGGTTAGATAGCTAACAGCTAGTGTAAAACATTGTCGGATTCATTATGATGAGTCCAAACAATGATATATGTTATAATACTAGATCGTTCTGCATAAGTGACACGTTGCGCCTGCCACGGGGTGTTTCGAAAAATCAATTAGGAGCATTGAGTCTGCCTCGGGGCGTTTCGACAAGTAAGTTTGGGGTGCCTCATAGGTGTGATGATAAATGGGTGAAGTGCCATGGACAAACGTGGGGTGTAAGGAAGCTAGTTCACGATGATAGACTTAAATTAGCAACATAGAACATAGTTACATTCATCGGAAAAATAATGGAATTAGTGGATACTATGAGCAAGAGAAAAATTAGTATAAATGCTTAAAAGAAACTAAGTGGATAGGTGAGAAGGCAAGGGGGATAGAAAATACAGAATTTAAAATTTAATATATAGGAAAGGATAGACGAAGAAATGGAGCAAGAATAGTTGCAGATAAAGCCCTAAAGTGTAGTAGCAGTTATAACGAAAGGAGATAGGATAATATCTATCAAACTTGCAGTCGAAGAGAATATAATTAATGTGATTAACGCTTATGCACCCCAAGTAGGGTTAGAGGAACATATTAAAAAGTAATTTTGGGAGCAAATAAATGAATTAGTTCAATATATACCTATAGGGGAAAAAAGAATGATAAGTGGAGATTTCAATGGACATGTAGGAAAAAATATGACACAATATGAGAGGGTTCATAGTGGTTGTGGATATGGTGATTGAAATGAAGCTGGAGAGAATATTTTAGGGTTTGTAATGGCATATGACCTTGTAGTGGCAAACACCTTATTTAGAAAACGAGAACATTTAATAATCTTTAAGAACGGACCGATTAGCTTGCAAAGATTGTAAGGTTATCTCGGGAGAGAGCTTAACATCTCAACATAGGCTAACAATCCTAGATTTATATATTAAAGGGCAACATAGAGTAAGGAGAAACATTAGCAAAACAAAAACGAGATGGTGGAATATAAAAGGTGAGAAACTAGTACTATTTAGGAGTAGAATGCTTGAAGATGTCTTATGAAACGTAGAGGATGAGACTAACGTTATGTAGAGTAGGATGATAGAACACATTAGAAAAATTTTGTAAGAGATTCTTGGGAAGTCAAAGGATAGAGGGCTTGTAGGAAAAGAAATTTGGTGGTAGAATGACGACATACAAGAGGTAGTTAAAGTAACGAAAGAATTCTTTAAGAGATGAAAAAATGATAGAAATAGAGAACTTCCAAAGATATAAATTAGCTAATAAAGAGGTTAAAAAGATAGTTAGAGACGCTAAGTTAAAAGCCTCCAAGGAGTTGTACAAAAAATTAGATGGTAAAGAGGTAAAAAAAGACATCTATAAACTAGTAAAAATTAGAGAAAGAAAAATAAGAGACTTTAACCAAGTTAAGTTCATCAAGTGTGAGTACTCAAAGGTTTTAGTTAAAGGTGAGAAAATAAATGATCGGTAGAAAGAATATTTTGAGAAACTATTAAATGAAAATCACTTAAGAAATGTAGAAAAGATAGAAAAGGGTAGGATTCGTAAAACGTTCTTCCGTACAATAAAGAATTCGGAGGTAAAGTTTGCATTGAAGAAAATGAAAATAGACAAGGCTTTAGGACCAGATGAGATTCTAATTGAGGTTTGGAAGTGCTTAGGGAATGAGGAGGTGTCGTGGCTAATGAAATTAACCTAATGAATGGAGAAAAAGTATTTTAGTACCTACCTATAAAAATAAAAGAGATATTCAAAACTGTAATATTTATAGAGGGATAAAATTGATGAGTCATATAAAGAAATTATGAACTCACTAAGCACATTCAAGATGATGTTCTACGGTGTATGCTATTTGCATAAAATATTATATTAGTAGATAAAACTCAAAGGGAGATTAACAAAAAATTAAAAATTTGGAGAGAGACACTCAAGTCAAAGAGGTTTAAAACAAGTTGGAGTATGACTGAATATATGTAATAAAGATTTAATAATAGAAGAAGTAGACATAGTGAATAAGTTAAGATTGAAAATCAAGAAATACCAACTACTAAATAATTTAGATATCTAGGATCGATCATTAAAAATGATAGAAAGATTGGAGTTGATGTAACGTATAGAATCAACGACGGTTGGCTTTAGTGGAGGAAAGCCTCTGATATATTATGTGTTAAAAAAATACCAATAAAATTGAAAGGTAAATTTTACTGAATAGCTATAAGGACAACAATGTTGTATAAGACAGAATGTTAGGCAATTAAGAAACAACATAGTGACACATTGAGTGTCGCAAATATTAGAATGTTAAGGTGGATATGTAGAAAAACTAGAAAAGATAGAATATGAAATGATCGTATTAGAGAAATGGTAGGAGTAATTTTAATTGAAAATAAACTAAGAGAATAGATTAAGATGGTTTGATCATATTCAACGGAGGCTAATAGAAGCACCGGTTAGAAAAAGTGAGAGAATTTCTTTTAATGGTACTAATAAGGATAGATCTAAATTAACATTGAACAAAATAATAAGAAAATATTTAACTTAAAGGAGCATATAGCGCATAATCGAAATGAATGGCGAAGACGGACTAATATAATCGACCCCAAAAAATTGGGACATAGGTTTGGTTTAACAAACGTTACTTTTTTTGTTTAAAGTACTTATGAAAAAAGTAGTAAGTACTAGGAGCACTTTTCATAAGTCATCCTAACTTGTTTGTCAGCAGTTCTTGAACATACATTCTTGTTAAATTCGTTGACTATGATATATGTCTTAGATGCACAGCTAATAACATTTGTTCTCTCTTTCCTGAAGGTTAGTATAAAATTGTTTTGGCTTTAATTATCAAAAAGAGAACTTTGTGGTGTATTTGATCAGTGTATTGAAAAATTTAATACCCAGTTAGATTGCTTTGACTATGGTATAAGTTGGGATCAACTGCCTGATGTGGTTGTGGATGTTAAGCATTCAAAAGCATATCTCATCAACATGCAAATATTGCGGTGAGCGAGTTGGTTGGATTGTTTAGCCAAGTTAAATATCTACGGGCTTATCAATATCTTCTATGGAAAGAGGTGTGCTCACGATCCTTGTTTCTGTATGACATAGTAAGATATTATGATTTTTTAAGAGTATGACATTTATGTTGAATCATTTGTTTTGCATTCTACCAACAAAATTATACGAAGATTGATGGAAAGCAGGTATTATTTCAATCTCTAGTGTCTGTAAATTGTGTTCATTTTGCTTCCTGAATTTAATTACTTCTAGTGTTATTAATTTTCTATGAACTATTCTAGAAAAGTTAGTTAATAGTCTTTTATTTGATGTGGTTTTGGATATTAAGCATTCAAAAGCCTACCTCATCAACATACAAATATTGCAGTGAACGAGTTAGTTAGATTGCTTGGCCGAGTTAAATCTCCTACTAATCAATATCTTCTATGGGAAGAAGTGTGCTCACAATCCTTGTTCGTGGATGATATAGTAAGATGTTGTGATATATGTTGAATCCTTAGTTTTCAATTCTACCCGCAAAATTATACAAAGATTGGTGTAAATCAAGTATTATTTCAATATCTAATCTCTGTAATTTGTGTTCATTCTGTTTCCTGAATTTAACCACTTCTAATGTTATTAATTTTCTTTGAAATGGTCTGAAATTTTAGTTCATAATCTTTTATTTGATGTCCTATCAAGGTACCTAAAAGTAGTGAAAAATAAGGATAGCATCAAACTCAATCTTCTTACTCTTCTTTCGTATCATTTATTGGTGCCATTACCTTGCATATTTACTCCTCTTCTTGAAGCAAATCTGTATTGTATATACCTTCTTGCGTTGATGGAGTTGGAGATTATAACCTTTGGGAGTGATAGCAAAGAGGGTCGCTTTCTGCATGGTGGATCTGAGTGATTGGTTTATTCAGTGCGAATAGTTTGACAAGTGTGCATTTCTTTCAATGGCCTCAAAATCTAATATCAAAGGTTCCGTGGAAAAGCAGAGTAAAACTACTGGTAGTCAGGCATTAGAAGAAAATTGTCGCAGGCCTTCACCTTTGCAGGTTTCCAGGACAGGTATATCAGAGCCCACCACCCCATAGAAATTAGCCAGCCGTGTTCAAGAAGTTCCCTTTAAGCAGGTTACCGTAGAAGCAACAGTGAACAAAAAGTCACAGGATTTTCAGCAAAAGGGGCCTGCTAATTATTTAGGTGATAAATTAGATTTAAGCTTATCTTTGGGTGATTCGAAACAAGTACCAACAAGCATAAATCCTACACCAAGTGAAACGAGAGGCTCAGTTGATCAGGAAAAGAAAAGAGCGGAGCATAGAACTGTCAAGGATTGCTCAGCCTCTGCCAAGGTCAGCGATGGAGCCAGCAGCCTTGCAAAAACTAGCGGAAGTGCCAAAATTAGTGATCGAGCTGATTTTGTTGAAAGTGGCAAGAGCAGCATGTGTAGGGGTAGCACAAGCAGTGATGTAAGTGATGAAAGCACTTGTAGCAGCTTGCGTAGCAGTATTAACAAACCTCATAAAGCCAATCACTCAAAATGGGAGGCCATTCGAGCTGCCGGAGCAAAAGATGGGGTCTTAGGTTTGTGTCACTTCAGATTGCTGAAGAAGTTGGGCTGCGGGGATATTTGTAGTGTCTATCTTTCAGAGTTGAGTGGTACAAAATGTTATTTTGCCATGAAGATCATGGACAAAGCATCAGTAGCAGGCCGTAAGAAGTTGCTTCGCGCACAGACAGAAAGAGAGATTCTGCAGTCTTTGGACCATCCCTTTCTTCCGACCTTATATTCCCATTTTGAGACAGACAAATTCTCGTGTTTGGTGATGGAGTTCTGTCCCAGAGGTGACTTACATACACTTAGACAGAGGCAACCAGGAAAGCATTTTTCTGAACAAGCTGTAAAGTATGAATCTCATTCCTGCTGATAATGTTAATATGTTTTAATCTTCCATAGAATTGTGTTAACTCCTAAAAGAAAATCTTTTTTGTAGGAAGCAAGAAAATATTATTAATGATAAAAATGAAGAGTACAAAGAGGACTAGGAGTCCTCGAAATATTGCCAAATAAAAATAAAATTGAAAATTAAACAGAAAGGCTAATAGTATATAATGAAAAAAAAACAGAGAAATGTAAAGTTCCGATCTTCATCATTCTTCAGACACTTTGATTTTCTTCAAGGTTTGTGATGTTCCTCCTGTCTTAATGCTCTAGAGCTGTATTGCTATGTAAATGTATTGTTGAAGTTCCAGTTTCTATTAGATGACATATTAGTAAGTGCCTTGGGATCTGGATTTTAATGTATGTTTCCCATCTAAGTTCATTGGAGAACTATTCATCCCAACTGAAGCATACCTGAAATCAATTCCTCTTCACCTGGAATTCTAGTAGATGTTTTTATGGGTGTTATAAGGAGAGAGTTATGAAGTGTCCTTAAAGTGTTCTTAAAATTACCGAAGACAGAACTGTAGAATTCTTAATATATTTTTGTCAAAAACAGTACATGATTGTCACAAGCAGGAGACAAAGGAAGCTTCAGGGTCATTTCTGTCCTGAATAAATTGTAAGAATGATTGATGATCTTAACCTATTCTTGTAGACCATCCTGTCGACCTGCATTGTGCTCCAAGTTTTGATATCATGACTTGCTTATCATTTGAGTTAATTAGAAAGAGCAATTGATGATCGTAACCTATTCTTGTAGACCTTCCTATCAACCTGCACTATTCTGCAAGTTTTGATATCATGACTTGCTTATCATTTGAGGAAAAAAGATCATATACTTATGTGGGGCTTTGGATTTGGTCCTCTTTCCCTTTAACTTATAACTTTAGTATACCCCCCACGTTGTAATCAAGACCTACTATCCAGGCCATTTTCCTTGTTGCTGTATTTTGTCCTGTCACATGGCTTTTGAACGATGGAGAGAGAGTATACAGCTTTGGTTGTGGTTCACATCAATGCATGATATTTGAACAAGAATATGGATAGGAACTTTCATGGAAGCACTACATAGAGGCAGACACATTTCATTGGTGGGTTGATGCTGCAATTGGTTAATATGTATCTAGCATCACCTATGAACATGTACTCAATGAGGACTTCATTCTGTCCTCATTCATTCTAAAGACTATCCTTTTAGGTGTTAATGCCCATGGAACGTGTTTGACATTTCCAGTTTGGATTAGGTTTGTTGAGTGCGCCTGATGTACTGTAGTTGTATATGTTGTAGCTGAATCCCTTTGTGGTACATGTGCATTCATGCATACAGCCGGCTATAATTGTTGTGCTAAGATGTGAACTGCACCTTTTTCCTTGCAAGTTAGTTCTGTCAGAGTTTGGTGTATCTTTTATTTGCATTCACAAGTGGAGAAATGGTATTATAGTATTTGGTTTTTCTATACAATCAGTTTAGTTTTTGGGTAGTTTTTTTTGTGATTATATAATGCCCTCCTTTTGGGTGGCCCCTCTTATATGGAACTCCTTTTTTGATCGAGAGAAATGGTACTTTCAAGCAAAAGTGGAGAAGATATTAAAGTAGCATTTCTTGAATGCAATATGTATGGAAAAAAATGATACTTTAAAAAAAGAGAAAGAAAAACGGATAGTAGTAGCATGTTTTTGCTGTCTTGGAATAAGGTTTAATTAATAATAAATAGTGCCTATAGCAGTTGGTCAAGACGAAATAATCAGGCATATACAACATTACTCATGCATATGGTGGATTATCTTAAGGCAAAGGATTAGTCATAAGAGCTCGAGGTGTCCAATTTGAATCTTCATTCAGAACCAAACTATTCTCAATGCATGACTATACTTATACAAAATCCTTGCACTATGCAGATGAGTTTTTTGTACTCCATCTCTCCGTCCCTCACCCCTGCAAATTTCCCTCCCAGTGTGTACACATAATTTAATGTAAACAGGACTCTCATCTTTCCTTTTGCTACAGGTAAGTGTTCTCTTTGTGCTTTGTTTTTGTCCATGGAGGCTACAAGGTGCTTATTTGTTGAAAATAAGTTCAGCTGTAAACTTCTCTGCTCGAGTTCATACATATTTTACTTTCGGGAAAAAAATATGTACAATGTTCAAGATTGAAAGCCAAAAAGCAGGGAAAGTAACCTTGTCTCTGTTTCGAAAAAGCTTCTTGCTTTTTGTCTCTTCTCTTTTTGGCCTGTAGGAATTGATGCATTTCAAGATTAAGCTTTGTTGTCCCTTTATAGTGTGATCCATAGTTTGCTGGCTTGATGCTTAGAGATTGTGCATGTGTTGTTTAATATTGTACCGGGTAATGGACAAGTTACTTTGTTAGGCAACATGGATCTTCTTAGTTTTGAGCATATATGTTATTTGTCCTTGCACTAAATGGTAAAATCTCTCAAATTTCAAAATGCAGGTTCTATGTAGCAGAGGTCCTCCTTGCTTTGGAATACCTCCACATGCTTGGGATTGTGTACCGCGACCTCAAGCCTGAAAACGTCCTCGTACGAGAAGATGAACACATAATGCTTTCTGACTTTGAGCTTTCCTTCCGCTGTGCTGTCAGCCCAACACTTGTCAAGTCGTCATCCCTTGAGACGGAGCCCTTAAGAAAGAACCCTGTATATTGTGTCCAACCTGCTTGCATTGAGCCCCTCTTGTATTCAGCCATCCTGTGTAGCCCTTACAACGTGTTTTGGCCCTCGTTTGTTTTCAAGTAAATCCAAGAAAAACAGAAAACCAAAAAATGAAATTGGAAACCAAGTCAGCCCATTGCCGGAGCTTATTGCTGAGCCCAAAGGAGCACTGTCAATGTCTTTTGTTGGGACCCATGAGTACTTGGCCCCTGAAATCATCAAAGCTGAAGGGCATGGGAGTGTCGTGGACTGGTGGACTTTTGGGATCTTTTTGTATGAGTTAATGTTCGGCAAGACTCCCTTCAAGGGATTTGGAAATCGTGCCACTTTATTGAATGTTGTGGGTCAGCCACTGCGATTCCCTGAATCACCCGTTGTCAGTTTTTCTGCCAGGGATCTTATAAGAGGCTTGTTAGTAAAAGAGCCACGGCACAGATTGGCATACAAACGAGGTGCAACAGAGATCCAACAACATCCCTTCTTTGAAGGTGTGAATTGGGCATTGATTCGTTGTGCAAGTCCTCCGGAGATTCCCAAGCCAGTTGAGGTTGAGCGAATTCCAGCTTCAACAGCATCTGCTAGTGAAAAAGCTGCTGTTGGAACCACTCCAAATCAGAAAAGTTTTGATAATTATCTTGAATTCAAAGGAAAAATGTGTAGTCCCTAAACATTACCGATATGCTGAATTCAAGATTCTTGTCTTGGCAGTTGGTGGTCATATTGTTGTTTGTTGTTGGTGTTGAACTGTTACAAATCCGTTGTCTGGCAAAAGCTGATGTGTTTTATGCTATCAATCCATAATTGGAATTCGGCCATTGGTCTTTTAATGAAATGATCAAAGATGATGCATGGAATGTGTTTTGGTGTTTTTGTCAGCAGAACATTTCATGGAAATTGTGTTGTCATTGATCAGTTTGATTCTTGTTAATCGTGGGAGTTGCGAGATATAGATGGTGGGTACATACCTAACATTGGGCATCATTAAACTAGTTCATATGCCAAGTTATAGTTTTATAAGTTGATGAGTTTTGAATTGCTGAGAGGATAGATTTCTTGGGGCTGAAGCATGGACACAGAAGGAACGGGTGGCATCCTAATCTGTGGTGGAGGGGGGAACTCCTGTCTCCTGAGATGCCCCAGGAACAACTGTCTGAACAACAGGAACAGGTGGAGTCGTCACCTTCTGGGAACTCTCAGGAGCATCATCCGGCCTCGCAATTGTACATCTTCTTTCATGCATTGAATTTGGATTTATCTCAATCTGATTCAATAATACTCCAATTCAAACTATATAAGACTAAATGTCAATATATTATGTAATTTAGTAATTATTTGATAATATTGAGTTGAATTCAAGTGTAATTTATTAAATAAACTCTAATTAATTTATTTGAATTGATTATTCAAATAATTGGATCAAATTTGTCAAATCAAATTCGAATTCATGAACCATACAAATCTAAGCCATTAAAAAGCCTTCCTAAAGGGAGAAAGGATGTGTCAACTAGCAATAACCCGTGTCATTAGGACACATTGCAATTAAATTTGAACGTCCTAAAAATTGATCTTATTATATCAAAACAAAAATCTAAAATTATATAATTTAAAATTAATTTCTATCCATTATTTTTTGAAACAAAAATCAACAATACATGACGTGATCTAGCAAAGAGTTCAGCCGAAGAAGAATATCTCACAAGTTAGATAGAATTCTGGTTAACCATGAGATTGTTACTCTCTTTTTCGAAGCTAAAATTATTACTGGTACTGATGGACTCTTTGATCATGCCCCAAGAGACATTATTCAGTTGAATCACCGAGTACAACACAACCATAAATCTTAAAGGTTTATTAATGAGCAGTCTAATCATCCCAACTTTCTCCGAACTACTTAAAAAATATTAACATGTGTACACTATTGTATATAAATAATATTCAAAATAAAAATTATATTTTGAGCCAAAAATTAATCAAAAATTGAATGACTCAACTTATAAGATAAATAAGTGATGTGATAGAAATGAATAGGGATAAATTCAAATTTTGACTACTTTCTATTAGCTAATTTTTGGCACTAGGGCTGACGTACCAGTTAGATCTAGGTATTTTGAATTTAATCAAGACAATTTAAATGATGAACTTTTGCTAAAATCAAATATACCAAACAAAAATGAGTATATAAGATAATTTATTTGTGAGGTCAATGTTGGGTTGCTAAAAAGATCAGAATGATTGGACTTAAGATTGTTGAATTTGATGTCATTTTTAAAAATTTTATTTTGAATATTGTTTATAAAATTTGAATAGGACG